ACTTAATAAAATATCTTTAAGTAGTCTTTAAGCAATCTTTAAGTAAGGGTTATATAAATAAACCTTCAGTATGTTTAATATAGAAATGGCCTAGGACTACATTTGCATATATCTTCATAGTTCTCTGTTGACTTTTCTCTTTTTTCTCTTTATCCCTATCACAGCTGCCAGATCTGGCCTCCCAGCTTGGAACATTATATGAGTTAATGGAAAGCAGAGTAAAAACTTTGCAAAAGCTGTCTCGCTTGCATGGCAAACTATATCTTATTATCACCCAAGTAAGTTAAAGTTGATAATCTTACTCCACAGAAAGAGTGTTGTTATGAACATAGAATGAAGAAAGTATGTTACTAGCAACAATGAGATCTTCTATCAAATGTGGGAGGGTTTGCTGGTGTGCCGAAATTTATGACACAAAAAAACTCTGATGATTCCTCTCAGAGTGATTTTGGGGAAATGAAACTACACACAATCTGTGCTTCTAGCAGCCTTGCTTAGAAAACCTTTTGTGTATGATAATTTTCTATAGAGTAGTGCATAACTTTCAAATATGGAAGGTGATTCCCAACATTAAGGGTAGCTTTCCATTGACAATTTGAGGCTGCAGAAGAATTTCTGTGAGCTTGATAATTCAACAATTTTCATAAAAGGTAAACCAGTTTTGGGAAAAAAACATTTATGTTAAGTCAGGAACTTCCAATCTTTAATTGGGGCCATTGTATCAAAAGCCTTTTATCCTAACTAGAGATTGGTATAATTTTGTTTCATTAGAGGAGTTTTACAGATTTACTGAGAATACAGTGATGGAGGTGCACAAAATTTATTTGCCCTAATCTTCAGGGATAGGATTATAATAAATTTAAGTTACCTTCTTTTCAGGTGGATGCTGAAGGACAAGAACATATGTATTCATGTTCTCATAAGGCTCTCTAATTATATATTTATTGATAGAAAGGCAGAACATAAATCTAATAAATAGAACAAGCCTGTAATGATATTTACTTGGAAAATAAATAGATTAAAACATTTTTATCTTCAATGGCCATGGTTCTATGTAATTTAGTAGAAGCTGCTGTTCCTCTTGATACCAAAGTTGATTCAGTTCAGCTCTTGGTAGTGAAATATAAAACTTGTAGTTTGTTACTGATGTTGCAGAGTCCTATTAATGCAGAAACAGTTTGATTTTTTGAGTAGAGAAACCATCTGTTAATGCCAGCAAAAAGCAATCACTTGTAATATTTGGGTTGGAGCTTCAGTTATCTTTTTCTCTCTAGGTATTCCCCCCCCCCCCCTGCGATGTGTACTTAGTTACCATCCTGAGCATAGAATAGCACTGGACAGAGTGGTTGCACCATCGCTTTCAGTTGCATCTAGATAAAAAGTTTTAGTTAGAGCCTATTTTGGTTCCATTTTGTATAGAAGATAATGTGGGTTCTAATCACAGACATTAAAAAGTTTAGGTCAAGTGACATCATTACTTTGTACTATGCCTTCATTACTTGCTGCAGACTAATAGATATTTTGAGGGTTTTTTTGGAAAGGTATGTTTGATATAATAGTGTGCAATAATATTTTTACTCAAAATATAATACAAATGTTGCCTTTACAATGTTAGAATTTAAAAAGGGGCAGAATCAGGCATTACTAAATGTGTGAAAATGTAATTTAAAAAAAAATCATTTTATTTTATTGGAATTAAAACTTTTCATTATTTGACAAATTAGCAATAGTGTATCATACATAGTTAATCGTATCTGTTTGATGTAATGTAATTTGAATTCAACACAAGCTGTGTGTCCTAGCTACAATCTTTGTTGATACCAAATACTCTTTTTTAGGTGGCTGCATTAGAACAGGTTCAGGATGTGCCTGATATTGATCAGACTGCAAAACTGGTATATGAAGAAGGTAAGCAAAAGAAATTTGGTACTAATCAATTTGGATCAATTAGAAAATAAGATAGTATATCAATAAAGGAGGATATTTGTAGCTCAGGGTTATTTTCTAACAAACATTTTATTACCCAAACCAGGTAACATCAGCAGCACTGATGTAGCTAACCTTGCAGATATTGTTTACTCTGAACTTCCCCTAGTACAGCAGGTGATTACAAATAGTCCTTGCTTTTGACCACTTTGTTTAGCGAGAGTTTAAAGTTAACAGTGGTTGGGGGGGGGGAACAGCTTTGCAACCAACCCTCACATTTACAGTTATTTCAATGTCCTATAGTCACGTGATCATTTGGGCACAATTGGTGAGCGTTTATAATCATAGTATGCCACCGTCGTGTGACCGCCATTTGCAAGCTTCACAACGAGATTCCAACAAGCAGAATTAATGGAGAACATGTGGAAGTAAAATTGAAAGTCACGATCGTGTGATGTCTCGCCTGAAGCCACAGTGATGTGCTTAATGATGGTAGCAGAAGTGAGGTCATAATTCTGGTGTGGAAACACATGATTTTTCTAAGGAACACAGTACTTGGTGCCAGCCCCACTTGTGATCAGTACCTATGCAGGCAACTCCTGCCTGGGTTAAGAATTGAATTCTGTTCCTGTCTTTAATTCGAATTTGTATGCAAGTTGGAACTCACACGTAACAAATGGGCTGCCTGTTGCTAAAATGGCAGGTGAAGTTCTCCTTCCTTAAGCTGATGAACCTCTGAGGCCACACAACGTTTTCATGAACTGCTTGGAACCTCTGAAGGCAGGCCGTGTATTAGAAAGGCATAACTTCAGTTACCCGTTTTGCCTTTTGTACCTGCAACAACATTTATAAGATTATGGGAAGATTCTTTGATGCATCGAAGCATATTGAACAGGGAAGATGTTGGGCCAAAAAAAAAAGAAAAGGCTAAAGTGAGAATTAAGAAATTAGATGATGGGAAGTACCAGAGAGAGTGTTTAAAAATTAAACATTTGGGTTTGAATATGGTTAAAGAAATAGAAAGATTTTGAATATAAATGAAGATTAGTTTAAGAGGGATGAACCCCTCAAGTAATATAGTATGCCTTCTTTCTTTTTTTCTTTTGTGTTTGGTTTTTTTGACATGAGAAATATAAAAATGTTGGGATGGTTTACATAAAAGAAACGTTTTCTCTGTCTTTTTTTCCTCATTTTTCTTTAAGATATGAGAAATGTAAAAATGGTGATGGCTTATATGAGAAAAAACAACAACTTAAATACTTAAGTGTAACTAATTTTGAGAAAATCTTAACCAGTAAGAATGTTTGAATATTGTGGGGAAAACAAATGTAAATAAGAATGTAAACAGGATTTATGATGAGGCAATTAAGATGATCAATGAAAAGAAGCTTTATATTGATGTGGTTATTTGCAGAAACATAAGAAAAAGGTTTATGTTCAATTGTCATTTATTTAAATAAGAACTGTATTAATTTAAGGTTGGCAAAAGAGAATATTATTGGAAGAAGAGGAAATCAAGTGAAGCTACTATATGGTCTATAGAATTATAGAAATTAATTGTTATTGATTGTTTTTTAAACACTAACCCAGACAACACGATATTTACCAAATATTAAGGTGTGTGTTAAAAATTAATAAAACATTTTTTTAAAAAAAGAAAGGAATGGCTTCAGGGGTCCATAAAAAACATGGCATGGTTTCAGCGGTTTATCAACTCAAGGAAGGACAAGGATGTCTGCCACTTTTGGTAATAGGCAGTCCATCCATAAGTAGGATGTTCTAAATCCAGGATTGCCTGTATAAAAGATGAAGGTTGTAAGCCGAAAGCAAGAGAAACACAGGTTCCTTACCTCATTTACTAAATAAAGAGCAATTTTATAATGCTTAAATATTCAGTTAAAACTGTGGAAGCTTTATGGGTCAGTTGCTACTCTGCAGAAAGTATCTAGGGACATTTCTACTGTGTTTCCTCTGTACTATCACCATGCTCAAACTGACACTGTAACATACATGCCCTACTTCAGTGGATATTTGCACCGCCCAAGAGCTGCTCTATGAGGAAGATGGGCAATTTCTAAATATACGGTATATAAATTTTAAAAATATATTTAAATTATTTTCATATGTTGATTGGAATAGTGCTATACATTTATCTCAGAAAACAAAATGGGTTTGTTGGAATATATTTCTACTCTATCCCATGTTAATATTGCAAAGATTCAAAAAAGCATGGGATAATCAGTCTTTTCAGGATCCTTGAGTTCATAAGGATATGACTTCTTATGAGTTACTCCATAAAACCAAGATATGGGTACTCCTTACAACTATAGTTGGGGCTGGCAACTCTATTACTAAGCAATGTGGTCACTAATCAGACATCACATGATAACAACATGTAATTTTAATGCCAGCTTTGCCATTGACTCAGTTTGTCAGAAGCCGGTTGTGAAGCTGCAAACGGCAATTGTGACTGCGAGATGCTGCAATAGTTGTAAATACCCATTGGATGGAAAGTGCCCAAATGTCAATCCTGTGATTGTAGGGACATTGCAAAGTCGTCAAAGTGAGGACTGATGGTGAAGTTACTTTTTCAGTGCCGTCATAATTGCAGACAGTTGCTAAATAGGGCAATTATTAAGCAAGGTCTACCTGTAGGTATACTTATGAGATGCACTCCTAAAAAACTTCTCAAACACATTTTTGGTGTCAGTAGACAATGTTTATTTTCTTTAGTTACAAATATTGAACATTCGTGTTTTTTATCGACAGAATCATCGGACGATGGTTCAGACGACGAGATGGTTGCAGAGAGAGATTCAGATGTAAGTAACGTTCGGTGACTTTCTTTCCGTACTTAAGAAGTTACACACGATTATGGTGAATGAATGTTTTGTTGTGCTCTCCTTCAGGAAAATTGGGATGAAGATGAAGAGAAGGAAGATGAGGAGAACAATGAGAGAGATGAACAGTCGGACAATGAGCAAGAGATGGCAATAGAAAAAGAAATCAATGGAGAGTCAGATTTGGATCCAGAAAATGAAAGTGAAGAAGAATAGCATACTGTTTAAAGAAAGAAAGCTTGTTGGAGCCGGCTACCAAAATGTGTCACTTCTGGATTGCCATGCTGGAAGCCACTTGGATCACAACAAGGAGTGCACACTTGATACCTAATATATCTGATGGCATATTGGAAAACTCTGTTTCCAAACCTGGAGTGCATAATGATGCCATCCTTCTTGTTCTTCAGTTCTATATTTCTAGGGATCACAGTGAAACAAATTTCTTCCACATAGCAAGCAAATTATTTCTTTTATTTGGATATTCATTTTACAGTTCAAGTCTAATAGCTTATCAATCCCCATTGGGTGATGATCCTGTTGCAGCTTTGCTTTAAATTCTGATGGATTGAAGACCACTCTATCTTAAACTGCTTTAGTTAAATTTTTTGGAAGAAAATAAATATTTTTGTAAGACTCAAAAACATTACTTTGAATTTCTTGGTAGTTCTTCCTCTTTCCTCCTCAATATCCATTCTCTCATAAGAGAATTATTTCATACCTTAGCAATGATACATTGCAAACCAGGTTTTAAGACTAAACTGACTTTTTTATATGTGTGTGTAAATCAGTCATTTTTCATGTACTTAAAAAAAGACCCGTGCTTAATCCTAACTTTTTGGTTTTTTTGCGCTTGTATATAAGTTTACTGCTGACCCAGAGAGTTCTTTGGCGGAAGAAAAATAATGAAAATGGGGAGGGCAGAGACTTGTGAATAACGTTACACAAAAACGTATACATTTATTATGGATTTTTAATCTTGGGAAGAATGGGGTTGCTGTTAGCTCAATTAAACTGAAGTGATATAAACAATTGGGTAACGTTTTTGAGCCATTCACCAGTATAATGTACAGTTTAATTTGTCTATAATTGGAGCTGTTGCAACCTAATGTTGCTCTCCTTTGTAAAGTGAATAAATATACATTGTCTTTATCAAGTATTAGTCTGTGATGTATGGAGTATAATGAAATGCATGTAACTGGAATTTTGTACTGAAGATGCAGGAGGCCCTTTTTTGCTACCATGGAGCGAGTTTGGAATAAGTCCTATAGCAGTGGTGGCGAACCTATGGCATATGTGCCAGAGGCGGCACTCAGAGCCCTCTCTGTGGGCACGTACACTGTTGCCCCAGCCCTGCCTCCCCTGTGGCCCCCTCACCAGCAGCCCCCCTGGAGGAGAGTCGCCCCCGGGCGTGGCCCAGGCAGAGCAGCACAACCAAGGACATGGCAGCCGGGCAGCAGGGACAAGACTTCGCCCTTGCGCCCTGTTGCATGCAGATGATGCTGTGGAGGGCGGGCGGAGGGTGTGACCTCCATGGCACTGCAGGACCGCCTGGGCGATCTGCAGCGGGCTGTGGAGGCGGCCCTGCGGGAGGGCGGGAGCGGCATGGTTTTTGGGCACTTGGTGTCTAAAAGGTTCACCATCACTGATCTATAGTTTTTTTAGAGCTGCCTTGTTACATTGTAAAAATGGTCATCACTTGCCAGCGGTAATTGGAACCGGGAACCCCTTTGCTAAGTAACACAGTTGTAAGGCTTGATTATGTCAAAGTTTGGGTGCCCTGACAAATTTATTCTGATGGTACGGCAGTTCCATGATGGCATGGCGGCTCGTGTTCTGAGCAACGGTGAAGCCTCAGAGGCTTTCCCTGTCACAAATGGCGTTAAGCAAGGCTGCGTACTGGCACCAACCTTGTTCAGCATGATGTTTTCAGCTATGCTGTCTGACGCCTTTCAGAACAGCTCAGTGGGAGTTAATCTGAGGTACAGAACCGATGGGAAATTGTTCAACCTGCGAAGACTCCAGGCTGTCACCAAGGTAAAGGAGACTGCTATGAGATCTTCTCTTTGCTGATGACTGTGCCCTTAATGCAGGATCGGAGCAGGAAATGCAAGCCAGCATGGACAAATTCGCAGTCACTTGTGACAACTTTGGCCTCTTTATCAACACGAAGAAAACTGAAGTGATATACCAGCCAGTTCCAAAAGCCCAATACCAACAGCCTACCATCACAGTGAAGGGACAAAAGCTGCAAGCAGTGGACCAATTTACGTATCTTGGTAGTACCCTCTCCCGTGCAGTGACAACTGACATCGAGGTCAACTGTAGAATTGCCAAGGTAAGTTCTGCATTTGGCAGACTGCGGACTAACGTGTGGGACCGCCGTGGAATAAGCCTTGCTACTAAGCTTAAAGTTTACCAGGCAGCAGTGCTAACTACCCTAATGTATGCTAGTGAGACCTGGACAGTGTACAGGAGGCACGTCAGGCAACTGAATTACTTCCACATGACTTGCCTTTGCAGAATTCTGAGGATCCGGTGGCAGGATAAGATACCAGATACACATGTCCTCTCCAGAGCAGGCCTATCATCAGTTTACACTCTGTTGATGAAAGCCCAGATGCGCTGGGCAGGCCACGTAAGGATGCCAGACCATCGCATCCCTAAACAGCTCTTCTATGGTGAGCTGTCTCAAGGAAAGCGATCGCACGGGGGACAAAAGAAGCGATACAAAGACACGCTGAAAGCATCTCTCAAGTCCCTGGATATCGATACCATCTCTTGGGAATCTCTGGCGCATGATCGACCGACATGGCGTACCCTGGTTTACCAGGGTTGCCAGACATATGAACACAGAAGGACAATCTTGGCACAAGAGAAGCGAGCACTCCGTAAAGCCAGAGCTGCAAATGCTGAAGCAATAGTGACCACATTTCTCTGTTCAGTATGTGGCAGAACATTCCATGCTAGCATCGGTCTCATCAGCCATCTACGGACACACCGCTGATGGCCCATAATCCATAAGATGTCAAGGTCTTCATCGAAATCGATGGACAAACAACAACAACCAACATAGCAACAGCAGTTCTATTGCTATTGCTGTTGTTAGGTGAATCCCACACAGCTGCAACATCTCACAGTCATTTGATGGCCATTTTTACCTTCAGCTAGCTTTCCCATTGGTTTTGCTGGTGGGAAGCCAGCTGTGAAGGTTGCAAATGCTGGTTATGTATCTGGGATGCTGTGACATAATTGAGCCAGTGGCCAAGCACCTGAATTGCAGTCACATGACCAAGGGGGTGTTGCAGCAGCTGCAGCTTTGAGGACCTGTTGTAAGTATCCCTTGTTCAGCCCCATCACGACTTTGGTTGCTGAACAAGTGGACAATAAACACTACTTGTATTTTGTTCTTTTGCTGCAACTTGCATTTGTTCATATTGTTTGAGCTGCATCATGGGTTGGATGGGTTCCCATGTAGTGCAAAGCGAAACCAAAGAACTGCAAATATAGTTTTAACTGAATAAGGCAGAGATGCTTTCCAAATATATCAGCATGGCTGGCTGAGGACTTCTGGGAGTTGAAGTCCACAAGTATTAAAGTTGCCAAGTTTGGACACCCCTGAGATATATTATAAAAACTTCCACGTCAAGCCATCTTATAGCACTGCAGTGGTATTTTTAAACAGAACGATGTCCCCCCAATATCCTACATTATTCATTCCTTGCCATTCAAACTGGGAAGATTGTAGTCCAAGAGCTTCAAATATTTTGAAAATTTTGTTAATGTTTATTATAGCACAAAACAATGAAAATAAAGATTAAAAAAGGGGAGATTAACAAAAAAAGATGAAAAAGTGGGAAAGTAGAAAAGTGTTGATTTCTGACTAACACAGTTAAGTACTACATTACCGATAATTACTAGGAGCCAGTTGTATATCTACACAATTATTAAATTCTGAATATCATTTTTTTCTATTTCAAGCATGAAAACTAGAAACAATATCCCAACAGAAACAAAATAAAAGTATCTTTGTTTAAAACAGTTTACATTGCATTCCTAACCAAATCCATTTTTTTATTTTTTTCCCATTATGTGAAGTGATATATAGTATATTTCTATTTACACTTACTAATCTTTCTAAACTATATTAACAAAAAATCATTATACTCTTTCAAATTTAACCTTATAATTTTTTTATTCATTTTAAAACTAACACTTCATCTTTATAACTAAAATAAATTCTAATGCATCTTTTTAATGTCCTTTTAACATACTTTCAAATTCACTTTCAATAATATTTTGCAAACTAGGAATTACTAAAGTGTTTTATTCTCTTTGTGTATGAAACCCATTTTCAAATCCACTTTATAAGCACAAAACAATCCGTTGGAATTCTCTTAATTACATCTGTCAAACCAATAGAAAATCTCTCCTAGCTCCAATTATCATACTAAATAAAATCTTTTTTCTCCTTCAGAATGTCTCAAATAAATATAAACGTTGTGTCAAGAGATTCTCCAATATGATTTTTAAATATGTTAATAATTTCAATTTTGAAGTGGAGATCCCAAACCTGTACTCTTA